AGCAAAAGCTATGGATATAGGGAACATATTGCAGGAGAAACTTGTCTCGTTTTTGCAGAAATCTGTATCTTTAGTAAACAGAACTGCCACGCCAGCTGACGAGCACGCAGCTGCAAGGGATAGCATCGCTATCACCTGCAATCACGAGTCAGATTTTTACAATCCGATTGGTCGAGTTCAAGACAAGAACTAAACACATATATAAAATGAACTTTTATCTAGTGCACAGAAATTCTGGAAGATCAAGTGAGAATAACCAATTCGAAACAAGAATCATAAATGTGTCACCTGGTACAGTGTACCACTTGTAAACAGAAATAAACCCTTGAGCGGCAGGGTATGCAATAAACTGGACTGCTGTTTATGATATGAATGTCTTGTTGGAAAAGAAAATTTATTCAAGTCAAGGAATCACTAGAACATACTGTACAACTCTTGTAGAACTTTCCACAGGCTTTTAATGGGATTCAGGGGAATCTTTAAATTGTTATATTTTCTAAATTGACTTCAAAATGCAGTGAAATTGTTTGCTCTGTAGAAGGGCAACAAAAAATGCCTAACAGAAGTAAATTAACGCGAGTGATTCCTACACAAGGCCACTTTCACTGGAATTTTTCCAGTGTATCCTCCTCGACACACTGAACTGGAGATCCAATACAATTAGTGGGATTTCATAGCAACACTCAACTTCACAATGTCTGATAACTGAACGTGTAAATCTTTATTTCAGTAGAATTCAGATCTTGAAGCATCAGACTCACTGACGGCAACCATTAAAAACTAGAATTGTGTAAAGCCAACGGTTTCAGAGACATGGCCTAGTATCCTACACAATCCATTGACTTATTTTACTCTTTGTTCTGTTTTAGAGGAAAGATTAAATATTTTGCATCGACAAATTTTAAAAGGAAAAAAATGTACTCAGGATTAACCAACTTCCCTGTACCGTGAGCTTCATCAATCAGAATCCAATCACCGTTACCCATTTCAAGTTTAGTCCACTGACTAATGCCTCTCCACACCTCTGTAATACCTCTCCAAAGTCCTGAACTCAAAATCTGCTCCTATTTCATAAAGGATCACATTAGACAACACCCTCTTTGGCAAATCTTAGTAACCTATTTCAGAAAGCTAAGTTTAACTGCTCCGAAGTTCTTATACTAGAACATGCCGCCTCTCAATCACTTTGTGTAGTCTTTAAGAGAAATATTCAGTTCCAAACTTCATAATCCTTGCGACCAAAATCTTGAGATGGCTAATGTATGTCTGCAATACATAGACATGACAATAGTCTAGACACTGTACATTATTTAAGTTAAAGACACAACTTCTCATGCCTGCAGATATTTCGGATTTTAATCATGTTATATCAGAGTACCATTGCAGGTGTACATATTTATGTAGGATTATCCGCCACCCTTCATGAAGTGTTCTCTTCAGAAAACACACAAATTTCTTTCTGAAGCCTATCATCATTACATATTTCAAATTTTAATCTAATAAAAATAGCTAGTCCCTACACATTTGTAAATAGCACTCTACAGTCATGATTTCAAAATCTCCTCTTATTTTGTAGGCGATCACGTTAAACCACAAATTTCCTCTTCATTTGAACCTTTGCAACGAATTTCTAAGTAAACTAGGTTGAACTTCTCCAGTTCTTATGGAAGAAAATACCACCACCAAGTAACTAAGTGCTAACCTCAAAACAAAATTCTTAGATAAAACTTTAGCCTGCAGATCTGTCAGATTTTGATCATTGTTGTTTTTGGTGTCAGTGTAGCTGTGCACACATGCACATGTATAAATGTAGAATTAGCATCCACCTTTTCCATCAATAAATGCTCTTATCAGAACAAAAGATATTCGCTTTGAAACTTCTACAAAAACCAAAATCTTGATATGACTAACGTGCACATTATATCCATAAGTATTTACTTGGATTGTGATTATTGCTCTGGTACTTTATTGCCCCAAATATAGATATATGAAATATTTGAAAGGCATCTCACTTAGAGATGTAATCCACTTTGAGTAACCTTTAAGATTTTTCTCAACCACTTTAGAGGATACCATGGGTAAGAGTCGAATTAAATTGAACAATAGGTTATTCAGGCTATGCTTGATTGGTAAATGAACAGATCTTAAACTAGTTAAATAGCTAATATTATACATGGCTGGTGATAATGTCATAGCAAAATTGTTGAAATTAACATATTCAACCTCAAGTTATGTCCAATCCCTATGAAAAGACAAGGATCTCTCTCCCACTGTCCAGGTATTTATTCTACTCTACTGCAGACGAGGGATGGGCAAATTCCACAACACCAGATGAACTGGACAAGTCAGTTCAGTCTAGTTCCAAAGAAACAAAGATTATATTTTGTTTCGGTGACATGGAAAACCAGCCACTCAGTCCAAGTCTTTATTTTTTATACAAAACTGAAACCAACCATTTACAAGTTTTTGAACTTTTTCAGTAAATGTCAGGTTTTGAATGGCTGATATGTAATCAACCACACCTAACTTGAAATTAAAAAAAAAAAAAAAAAAAAAAATTCCTGAAAGCTACTCAGTGGAGCTGGAACCCAACCAAACAAATTAATTTTGATTGGCTTCAACTATTCAACCAGACCAGATAAAAGTAACTGATTTAGACTGGCCAGGTTTGGTGCTTGCTACTGGACTGAACCTACTCTGAGAAGCAGCCACCCCTTTCTCTTTGTTGACCACTTTGATTTCTCATGTAATAAGCCAAACCAAATAAACAATTCATTTGAAGCTCATTGCAATGAAAAAAAATCTAAATGAAGTACATCAAGCAATATTATAGACATGAAAAAATTGTGATTGAAAAAAGTCACAAGATTTGTTTTGCACTTATCATTTTTAGCTTTTGTTATTATACTTCGGAATTGTTTCTCAGGTTGTGTACCTTCAGAGATGCCAGATGTGAAGTGAAAATTTTAATTTTGAATTTAGTGCTTGGTTTGAGGGACATTTCAACAGTTACGAAGAGCACAATTTTTAAACATTTTATCTTCATTTTTTGACCAAGATTTGAGAGCAATTTTGAATCCCAACCACAATTATGTATCAATCGTCAAAGTGATGTCAGATGAAAGATTTGGCATTAAGGGTAACCAGAGCCGCTTGAATGGTGGAAAATTAAGTTTGTTTGGATGGATGATGAGGCGTGAGGACAAACAAAGAGAAGCACACAATCAGCATTATTATTGTCCCTACCAGAAGTTGTCAATGTTTAAAGGAGGACAAAGTGCTGGCAGACGTAAAGGGAAGGGGTGGTGGGAACCAGCGAACACGCTTTTTTGCACCCGCAAGCATGCACGCGCGTGTGTGAGAGAGAGTCAAACGGGAAATAGGAAGGGGAAGTGGAATTTCATCTCAATTGAAAGGGAATTTCAGGTTCTCCTTCCATAATCAATAGCCCGTTTTTAGGTCTCCCCAAGCCCGTGCTAATTCTACAGCCCTGAAATAACTTACATCTCATTCACAATATAAGAGGTAGGCGGATATCCACCCGCTTCTATCTAACAGTTAAAGAGGGAGGTTCACTCAAGCTGGAATTGACCGCGATATTACTTTCTTCTCTTTACCTTTCCTTTCCTAAATGAATAAATATGAGGGGGCTGAATGACCTTTTTTCTTTCTGTTTCCTACATGGAATATGTTTTGCATATTTCCTAATATCGTCATGAGAAACATTTACTGTTTACTGTTCACAGATTCTCTTTTAACCAAAAGAGTTTTCTACAACTCAAATTGATGGCCTCTTCGTGAGAAAGTAGAAAAAACAAATCAAAACTGAAAGAGTCAGTTAAATAGGAAAAATCAGTTTTTTTCCAATACAGTGACCTCTCAAAAATTTTACACTATAATGCATTTATATCATGTGAGACATTTTACAATATTACAAAAAAAATGTTGTCTATACGTTAAATTTATTCTGATCAAGAATCCTTTACTTCTATTCATAATTCATAGAATTGTTTATTCGTTAAATTATAATTAAAAACTTTCAGGGTTTGTAGGTCAAGATAAATTTCCTTGAGCCAGAAAGGTAAATTTAAAAAAGAAAACAAAAAAAAAGAAGAAGAAGAAGAGTAAAGTTCAACTTCTGTGCATCGAGGATTGTTGATTAAGATGAGTTAACAAGAGAGGGAGGAGCAACCATGTGAACTCATTGAAACAGTTTCCCTCAGCCAGTTTTTAAAGTGGCGTCCTAATTTACCATAATTGATGTGATAATAGCATGCTCTTGTGGAAGTAATGAAAGAAATGAAGCCAAAGAGGAATTAGTTACCCAGTCGCCAACAGCAAAAAGGCTCATGATGATTTGATTATGCAGATCTTTATAGAACTTCAAAGCATGTACTTCAATGCAGACAAGTCCAAAGCTCCATAAAAACTCAAGCCCCATTGATGCTATTAAGTAGCTGAACAAAATTTTCTCCAATTAGCTGAATCACTAAAATAATTAACCATTCCTAAGCAGTAGGAATTCACAAAGGGAACGGGTAATTTGGAAAAATGATTGAATAAGCGATGTCCTTGACATTCTTTGATTGAAAGTTATTCAACATTACAAATGTTACAGACTTAAGCAAGTACACCAACCACTAGTTAGAAAATCATTTTATTACTTTGTAGTTTGTACAGAGCCATCAAACTGGCAGCACAAAAAAAAGAAAAATGAAAAAAAAGTAAAAATAGAAAAAGTTGAGGGAGAAATAATGTTGAATGAATCTATACACTAGCTCAATATATAATTATTTAAAAATAGAGTAGAAGAAAAGTTTGAATTTGTAAAATAGTGTGCTGAGAGTCTCAACAAAATATTGACGGCATTGCACGGGAACTGGTGGACACTCTGGAGGCAGGATACAGATTAATGCATGAATATAAAGATTATGTTGAATATGCTTGTATGATCCTTAACAGTGTCATCATAAAAAATAGATAGATTCGACAATGATCCATGAGTATAAATTTCTTTCCATCAAGGTTAACTAATAGTGAAGGAATCTGTGATAAAATTATGCAATCTAAGATGTCTAATATAACTGCATAGCATAGAGTTTGCAAACCACATATTTTACTTGATACCTTGAATGAAAATTTTACAACTTACTTAAGGAATAATTTTTTTTGTAAAAAGTTAAGTAATGATGGTGTTTAAGACTCAATAAACAAATTAAAAGAAAAAGAACTTCAGAATTCAAGAATATGAAGAGAAGTACAGCTTATCATGAAGTTCTATGCAAGGACTGTGACTTCTAGCTGCGAGTAACCAAGTATTACTTAAACTTGTCCTTTCAAGTATAATTTGTCTCAAACAAATGTGATCAGTTTACTTAATGATGATACATCATTATTAAGACTAGGTGATTCAACTTAAAAGATCAACCTCGTTAAGTTGAGTAGCCAAGTCGATTATTATTTTTGTATATAAATGGTGTGGGTTTATCCTTAACAATATATTGAACCCAAACAATACATTGGCATGTGTTGTACTAATCTAACAAGCTAAAAAGATTTGTGTCTTTCACTCTTTTTTGCCAAATCTCAATGTGCCATACTATCACTCCTTCAGATGCCTATAAATAGTAAGCACAACAGACTATATGCTAGCTCATCACAAATTACTTTGCTATTCACATACTTGAACCAGGGACCAACGTTTAACAGGGAAAACACCAACGCTATATGCGGTCATCAAGCAAATAAAACACTCCAAGTTTATTACAAGTTACTAAAATCACAAGAGCAGCACAGAGAAAATAAATCCCTTCCACATCCCATCACCTCCAAAATATAAAACTGAGTTTCAGTATATAATGAATAGCTATTACCATCAGATAAATTGAGGATCCCTCAATATATTGGTAGATCTGGCCTCAGTTGTGTTGTACACAGATCTCATGCGATCATTGGCATGCGTTAAATTGTGGAGGAGGAATCTGTTTCAATGATAACTCTCTAGTTCTTGAACTAACAAATTCGGTAGTTCTATCTTCTCTATCTACTCATCCTTCACAAACAATAATTCAAAAGACAAGAAATTTGGGCATATTTCTTCTTTTAAAGCTGACTCTTCTTTTTCTTTTTATGGCATTGATCAAAACGAGTGTGGAATCAATAACCCAAATATGCTAAAAGAAAACAACCCCAAACAGAATTATAGTTTACAATCCCCACACGAAACCCCACAAAAGGGACACAGATAAAACATAATAACAACGAAAATTTCTAGAACTAGCAGTAAAAGAAAATCAGAGAGAATAAAATTACCAAAAAGCGGTAGAAGTAGAAAACCCAGTGGCAGATGCCATGACTCCAATTGAAGAAGCTGCAAATAAACACTGCCCAATCCTTAACATGAGCCCACTCTTTGTTCCTGGACTGCCATACAGCTCTTTCATCTCTCTGTCTCTCTCTCTAAGTGCATATATCGGTGTGTATATTTAGTAAAGATTGAGAATCTTTATGAGATGGGTTGTTTCCCAAAATTCTGGGTCAGTAGATTCTCCTAGATTGTCAGAACATTCCCATGTTTATACTTGGTCAAGAGCAAGAAGAAAGTAGAAATCCCCATTCTTTAATGGCCGTAAAAATGAATTAAACAAAATTTTAAAAGTAATTATTCATTGTTGACAAAATTGAAGATCGAAGGCAAAAATTGAACGTAATCTGAATAATCTGTTGTGATCACATAAGCGACTTCTTTACCAGCCAATGAAAATGACAAACAAAGATATTGGTTTTTAAAATCTTTTGAACAAATGTAAAACAATCCTGGGGTCTACAGATTTTAAGACTTCTGAGTGTGTTTATATTTAAATATTAGCAATTTCAAGTTTCAACGAATTACTTCAAACTTGAAAATTTTGATGCTTATTTTAACGTGAACTAAAAGTAATGGACCAAAACAAATCATTCTTGAACAACCCTCTCGGGAGCAAATTTTTTTTTTTTTTTTTTTCCCTATTCTATTCATTACATTTTTTTAATGTAAGATGACACAAATATCTTTATTACTTGATATGGGCTTTACTCTCATTTTATTTTGTGGAAATTACACAATACCATACTTTAAATATTCAACATTCTAAAATCATGAGGGAACTTTAATATTTCAAAAATCAGAAAAAAAAATATTAATTATTTAATTTATAAACTAACCCTAACCCCCATCCACCCCAAAATAATTTCCTCCAAACCATTCATTCTCTACATCTCGCTCTCTGATCTCTCTCGCCTATGAAAAAGGGGCAGAGTTGGCGTCGCACCTCTGTTGGCATCGCACTTCTACTGTGGTTTCGGGAAGATGATGGTGTTGGCGACGCAGCTGTGGTGATGTGGGCAACGCTATCAGGTTCTGTGAACGAGGTGCTGCTGATAATTGTGAGGCAGTGCTGGTGTAGCCGAATTTATGGTTTTGGATCTGTGGCGCCGTTGATGGTTGTGAGGCGATGTTGGCATGGCGACAAAGTGGTGCCGGATTTGTGGTTTTGGATCAGTGATTGTCGGTGGGGTTCGTGATTAGGTATGGTTGGATTTGAGTTTTAGATCTGTGTTTTGGTGGTTGCCACTGTTATTGGTGGTGCGGTGCGATGTGTTAGGTGGGTGAGTGGTGGTGGGAACAGTGGTTGCGATTGTAGTGGCGGTGGCGGCGTGGTAGATTTGTGGAGTTCTATGGTTGGTCTGCCGTGATGGTGAGATGTGGTAGGGATGGTTATGGTGCTATGGCGGTGACAGTGGTGTTGGTGTGGCGGCAGCGGCGACGATGGCGTTGATAATTTTGGAGTTGATTTTTTGTTTGAGACTATAGCGTTGTTGTCGGTGATGGTGCTGGTGGTTCAGGCGACCATGTTGTTGAAGGGAGTGGCGATCACGTATTATTTGATTGATCGTGACCATTAAATTGGTTAATCTGTGATCAATAAAAAATATGTGACCACTAAAAATGATAAATTATGATCGAGAATAGTGTGTGACCTAAAAAAAATAATATGTGACTTATAATATTTGTAATCTGTGACTTATGTGACCAACAAACAAATCGTGACCTACAAAATTTTTGAATTGTGACCTTTAAAAATCTTCATTTGCGATCGAAAAATAATTTGTGATTTATAAAATTTTTGATTTGTGACCAATAAATTGATAAGTGTGACTAAAAAATAATTCGTGACTAAAATTAATAAATAATACGTGACCTAAAAATTGTGTTTCTGACTTATAATTTATTGAGTTGTGACCGAAAAATTAATCTGTAACCTATAAAAATTTTTATTCGTGATCGAAAAATAACATGTGACCTATAAAATTTGTGTGTGACTTATAATTTATGAAGTTGTGACCGAAAAATTAATATGTGACCTATAAATTTTTTTTTTCGTGATCGAAAAATAATATGTGGCCTATAAAATTTTTAATTTGTGACCGAAAAATAAGTTGTGACCAATAATATGATAAGTCGTGACTAAAAATTAATACGTGACTAATTATTTTTGGATTTGTGATCAATAAACAAACTGTTACTTACAAAAATTTTGAATTGTGATCGTAAAAAAATTTGTGACATAAAATTTTTGATTTGTGACAAAAAAATAATAAGTAACTAATTATATTGTTAATTTGTGACCAAATTGTATGGATTCGTGATCTAAATATATTTAATTAATAAAATAATTAATTAACTAATTAAATTATAAATAATTTTTAATAAAAATCTAATTTTAGAAATTTGAAACTTGTTTTCTTGTTTTTGAAATATACCATAATAAATTTCTTGGTTATGAAATTTTCCCTTTCATTTTTCTACTATCTTCCTACTTTTCGTTAGCCACAAGAAAAGAACCAAATCTTTCAACCCCAAACTTCATATAGTAACATAAGCATATTTCATATTAAATTATAAAAAAAATAATAAATAAAATTGTGGTGGTTGAGGAAATAATAGGATATCTTGTCAAATAGAGTCGGTGTTTAACATGTTATTTTTCATTACTTGAATATCAACCACGTATTCAACAATGTTTCTCGTGCAATGCAACCAAGCACGTCAAGCCAGCAGCTCCTAAGCGAAAATAAAGAAGAGCTTATAAGTGAAATTATCAAGAGGATCATGCCCTCCAAAGAGATTTAATCAAAATCCTCAGAAAAAATTGAGGTGAAAAAGAAGTGCCTAACTGCTCTATTTTTATGGTACTTTGGGTGGGAATGAAATCTGATATGGAATCTCCGTTAAAACCAAAACCATCCCTCCATCGATCCATTCCCAGACTCGTAATTTGCAGATGATTAATTAGACCAGACGGCTTCATCAAATGCTAGTATCATAGAAAACCAGTGCCTAATACTTGGGTTGTGCAGTCTCAATCCTGCAAAGCTAGGTCCTTGTGAGTGTAAACCAACCCTTTATCACCATTCACCACGTGCCCACTTCCTCTTCCAATCCTACATCAAAACACAAAGATGGTGGTCAAATGTCCCTGAAATAAACTCGAAACCTTATAAGTTTGCTAAACAAAAACTCCAAGAAATTTCATAAATATACGAAAGCTCCAAACTAGAGATTCTCAATACTTTAGAAGACAATTGTTAGCTTAAATTTTAAATGCCGTTCAGGAACCTTAGCATTGAGACTAAAATACCTCAGGTCTTCAACATCGTGATTCAATTTCGACAAATAAGGCAAATGAATTAGTGTTATGGAAGTGTTTCAGTGAATTTTATCCAATATCAAACTCTTAGAGACACAAAAGCCAGTGTCTCAGTGATCATCTAGAAAAATAACTGTCCATCTGCCAATGGTTTGTATTGCATCTGACAATTACATGCATGATATTATTTTCATTCATGTGTTTATGACTTGCACCGAAAGTGCAAATATCAAGCAAAAAGATATTCGCTAAATCCATGACAAAAAGAGAGAGATTTCAAAGACATACCATCTCGTTGTAAGCAATCCTTCAACACCTAGGGGACCACGCGCATGAATCCGACTTGTACTAACCCCAACCTGTTATCAACAACAAATATATGACAGAATAACACTCGAACCTCAGACTGAACTAAAAAGTTAAACAGCTATTCTACTTGTACAGAAAACCTGTCTGATGAATTCCTAGCATTCATCTATCAAGCTACCATTACAGATTTTCTGTACACGTAGTAGAGTTCAAAGTTAGATGGCACACCTCTGCACCAAATCCAAAATGGAAGCCATCACGAAATCTCGTACTTGCATTATGGAAAACAGCAGCACTGGGAACATCAATACTTGATGTTAAGTTCATTGAAGAGGTTATGATATCCATATTAAATTAACTCAATATATCGAGTTGCATTTCAAATAGAATGGTCCAATGTAATATGACCAAGTAGGAGATCAAGCACCTGTCAACTCCATTTAAAAAGACTTCTGCAACTTCACTATCTTCTGTAATGATGCAATCCGTATGTGCACTGCGATTAAGAAGGAACATCGTTTGACAACAAACGCATGAATACAAATAAACACAACAGCACAGAAATTCGAGAAGCTAACTTGCCTTCCATGCTTGTGTATATGATCAATGGCAGCATATACATCATCAACAATTTCAACAGTGCAAGCAAGAGAACTATATTCGTGATGCAGTGAAGGTGCCTTTGGAATATTTAGTAAAGAGCTAGTCCGAGGTCCACCAACTATTGCAACACCTGAAGCAGATGGAAATAATTATACTAGCCTTCAGAACAAAGATTCTTTTGAAAAATTATTAGAAAATGTTCTTCTGAGGCTAATTTAAGTTGATTCAATAAAAGCACAATATACTAAAATAACATGCCTATCATACCAGAATGTGGGGCATAATGTACAATTGCATACTAGCTGAGTTCAAGTAATAAACCAAACATTGGGAAGCAGAACAGTGGCAGCACACATACAAGCATACAAGATTGACGAACTCCCAAGGTGCAGTGATTGTGTGGGAAGAGGGAGGGGATGGGGGGAGGGGGTTGGAAGGGTTATGTGGGTGCACTGATAAGGTATATTTTGCTATAGAACCCCAACCTTTCACTTGAAGTTCCATAATAAGGTCGTTCAGGGCACTGGTCTGTGCCAACTCCTTATGAACAATAAGTGTTTCCTAACGAATAAAGAAAGCATCATTAAAAACGATCTTTAACAATGTAGAATCATAAATGAAAAGACAAATATCTACGAACAACATGCCGTTGCATTGCAGGCTGCAGGGTAATCTGTTTTTGCATCCAAAACAATCCGCTTAGCCATATCCATATTGGCAGACTTGTCTACATACACGTGACATATTCCATCTGGGATGAAAAGAACAGCTTTACTAAATCTCCCAACATATGGAATGCATGATTGGCTCAACTACACTTTTTGTGCGGGGTAATATAGAGAAATAGTCATTTAAAGTATATCTACCAGCATGACCAAGAACTGGAATTTTTGTTGATGCCTTGATTTGAGAAACTAGTTTATTGCTGCCTCTTGGAATCACAAGATCAATCATGTCATCCAGCTACAATCAAAATGTTAATCCCCAGTTTCAATTCTTGTATCATACAACCATAATAATTAGATAAAAGCATTTTGGAATCATTAATGGATATTCTAAGTTCAAGCCACCTTGAGCAATTCAGGGATCTCTCCTCTAGAAGTCACCAGTCCAATGAGTCCCTCGCCAACAATTTTGGGGATGGCAGAAGTGATTACCTAAAACAATAAAAAATGATTGAAAACTTCCCAATAACCATGACAAAAAAATTATATAGCTTTGGGTTGTGATGACTCTAAAACAACTAAAAGTTCACTAGATTATACCTTGTGCAAAATTGTATTTGATCGTCTGGCCTCCTTTCCCCCTTTTAATAGAAGCCCATTCCCACTTCGGATTGCCAATGAAGCTATCTGTTACAATCAATAGAAGGCCATAAGTTTTTACAGTTGAAGATACAAGTGTTTGTCCACGGCTGTAGAACGAGTCCATAGTCAGTTGGCTAATAGTAGTTTATTCAGCTTTGTTTTGTAATAACAAATAAAATGTTAATAAAGAAATAAACAAAGATTGGACAAATTCAGAAAACAAATCACCATTCTAAATGGTCAGTAGTCTTCCAAAAGTTTTTGCCTTTTACAAGTTTTTAATTATTTAATTTTGAATAGCTGCCTAAACAGCCATATTCGGGGCGAAGGGAAAAAGTTAAAACCCCTTTTTCTTGACGTACGAAATAATTGAAAGATAATTTTTCAGCATTTGTTGACATATGAAATAACTGAAAGATAATTTTACAGAGTTTGTTGGTAACAATAGAAATATTTTGTCCATCAAATAAAGCTTTAAGCTAAAGCATGGAACTTAGATGGCTGGGCATGCCTAGCTCGAGCTTAGAGAAGCTCCTATTTCCAAGAGAAATGAAAAACCACTAAAAGTTAGAAGAGAGAAGGGTAGATCAAAATTAACATGACTGAAGTAATTGCAGGTGATTTGTTTATTTGGATATTTAGTAAGGGCTGTCCTTGGATCCAATTGAACAGTTATTGAGGATTCACGTAACTAATCACTAATTTATAGTGTAGACGGCTTAAATGTTGTTATCTAATGCCCTAAGCTAAAAACATGGAACTTAGAGAAGAAATTCTGTTGTATTCTTAAAAGAAGTACAAAGGGGACAAAAAGAAAAACATTTTAAAATCCTTAACATGGCTGCATAAACTATTGTACAATCATGTTGCTAAAATGAAATCAGTGAAAGATTATGATGGCATCCCGTGACTGCAATTTGAGCTGGAAATATAGTAAGACTCACCAAAACTTGCATACCCAGAAGCACCCTACAAGTCATTAACCAAAATCTTCCTGAGAAAAAAGGTCAATTAATTTACCTGAGCTAGTGCATCAGGTCGAGACTCAAAGATAATCAAAAGAACGCCCATAGGAGATGACAACTTCTCCAGTATGTGTCCTTCTAAGAGCTGCAGGCATTATCAGTCAGTAACAATTTGTATACACGAGAAATATTATTCATGGTTACAATATTCTAAAATATGTTTTCTATGCAGGGCACTTGGTTTTGCACAAGACATCACAGCTATCTCACAAGCTTTTGGAGTTCGCCACACCTTGAGCTCCATCGAGTCAGAACGGAGCGTGTTCCCAATTTGTCTGAGCTAGAGCTTGGAGATGGCAAGCTCTAGAGTTTATAATCGTTTTCTTGGATTCTAAAATTGAGTACTAATATATGAAATTTCTCACGCTTAAAGATTGCATAGGGTCTCAAAATGCAGTTTAACAAGCTCGAGATCCAGCTTGAACTCTCCATATTTATACTCAAGCCCCAATATGTTGGGCTTGGTCATGATTTATCCGAGTATATAATATTTGGGCAGGATATTGAGTCATAAAATTGTCTGGTATTCTCCTCGAGCTCAGCTCATGTAAATAAACATCTTCACCCATACTTTCCCTAGAGGCTGAAGTAGCATCCCACCCACTATTTTGGATGGTGCATAGCTTAAATTATGAGCCCTGTAGCAATTTCCTGGCAAGGCAACACGCAGCATTTCCTAATATTTCTAATACTAGCAAAGGGCAACAAACAATGTGAAAGTCCCTTAAAAGTCTGAACAGGTTTATTTGTACTCCATATTCTTTTAAATATTATCCTCAATACCAATTTCCCTACCTCTGTTCTCTTCACGACACAACCAACTGGCTCCTCCATGTTTGCAAGCACACGAATAGCATTTGCAAGACTTGAAACCTAGAATGATATAAGCTATTTAGAGAGAGAGAAAGATAGAGGGAATGAAAGATATAGTTTTGTAACAATATTTCATTCAAAAGATAATAAATGCCTAATGCCTTAAAAAGGAATCAGGTAGTCTCTTACCTTAACAGGCTTCAAAGCTAGCCTAGAAACCAAAGATTTTTCATATCCAGCTTGCTGTGCCTCAGCAACATCAGCTTCATCCTCAGCAATAATTTGTTTCTCATTTGCTTCCAGTGCATCAGCGATATCCATTAAAATTTTACTCCTTTCATTTGAAGACATGGCCTGAATGACAAAGAATTAACAATTGATCACATTTGTTCCGGTACACAAGATTCATCCTCAGATTGACCCCCCATTTTCTTACCTGCAGTCTTCTAGAACTTTCCCTAGCTGCAACTGCCATCTCTCTAGCACCCACTTCTCCAAGTGGACCCCATTTATTAGCATCCTGATGAAATAGTGTACCAACTCGCTTCCCATTTAATACTTTCAAAATATTGTCAGCAGCAAAGCCACTTCATCCATGGTAAGAGAGAGATGGGGCAGAGGGAGATTAAATTCTACTAAAATGGAAGCACCAAAAAGTATAAACCAGCAACTCACACTTAATAACTAATAAGTTGTCAGAATCAGATTTAAAGGTATAAATTTCATAGAAGACATCGGCCCTGGCAAAGAAGGACTGTGAAAAGGATTCATTCATTTACCGTTCATCTACAAACTCACGAGAAGCATATACTCCATTAATTAATGTTTAATATTAACTTGTTCCTAGTAGTAGGTTAATCTTTTTTCCATTTTTAACTTCGGCAACTATTTCATACCGCTTGCTCAGATTTTAGAAGTCAGAAACATATTGAAATACTGTCTGCAAATTGGTACCATCATTTTGCAGCATCAAGTTTCCCAAGGACTTAAAGAAAACAACCTTGCAAAAAAAATCTATGGATCCAGTGTGATAAAGTATGCTGAAAACTAGTCTTGCTACAATCAGTTACCATTACTTAGTTGTACTGTTATTTAATATGTTACTCGCAGTGAGTAATTTTGCTCAGTAATTGCCCAAACTGATTGGGTCCATAGTTGTTTCCATTGCATGCTTTCACATTATATTGCAAAATTATTTTATTAGACTTCAGAGAAAAGAAATTTCTTCCGACTTCTCTGAAGTTTCTAATCTAAGAACTGGCAAAGGCTTATTAAACGCAGTATATTTAAATAAGCATTAAGAATTCACAAAATGAGCAATAGTTTGTTGCATGGATTAGAATTGATGTCTAATGCCTGTTCAGATCCAAATGTTGAAACTTTCCACGGGAAGGCAGTTTACCTGGTGATAACAACAGGGATCCCAGCATGAGCAGCATAAACAGCAGCTTTTACTTTGGCTGTCATACCCCCTCTTCCCACAATAGACTTGTCTCCAAAAGTTATTATTCGTTCATGTCTTTCCTTAACATAAGTATGAATTAACTCTGAATTTGGATCGCTTGGAGGGCCACTGTAGAGACCGTCTACATCACTCAACAGAATAAGGAGGTCAGCTTTCAGTTCCAGAGCCAGTAGAGCTGATAAACTGTCATTATCCCGAAATGTTACAGAAGAGTCCTATACAGTTACACGATGTAAGGGAAGTAATATGAGCTATTATGCTAAAAAAAATCAAGAATATTGTAAAGAACACAGAGATTAGCCAATGACAATTTGAAAAATGTGTATGAAAAGAAAAGACCCCCAGTGAGGTCCGGAAAATACGAGTAAAGTATTATTTTCCCAACCCCATATAACCCACTTATTTATAAGGAAAAATAATTTAACACTGTATAAGTTTATACATACAAGTTCAAGGCACAAAAAGACCATCAGACAAACAGGGAGTAAGGAAGCCTAGAATTGCAAGTGAAGTGTGTGAAGTTAAAGAATGTTAAACTTGCACATATACATAACCCGTTCTGCAGAAACCTCTCGTGTCTCTAGATGGAAATGGCACTGACGTGCCAACTTTACAATAAAAGCAACACAAAATAATAAGCAAGTGAACAGAGATTGGTACCTCATAAGGAGCTTTTCTTGTTCTAACAGCATCGTTTTCGTTAAATATAGGAATAACCTTCAGAGATGCCAAATTCTTTACAGTTTCATTAAGTTGTCTCCTAAAATCCAAATCTCTAAAATCATTGTCTGTAACTAAAAGCTGTGCTGATGACACATCCAACTGCATATGAGAAACAAAATCATCATGATCCAATGATATACATAAAATAACAAATCCATTAAAGGAAGATTCATTTTTTTAACTACCACAAGGGAACTTGTCAGACTAATTATCATGATATGGTACCTACATTGCGATTTTACCTGGCTTAACATAAGGTACCTACATTGTGATTTTACCTGGCTGAACAAAGTATCATAGAGAGCCATGAGACCATTCTGTCCAATGGCTGCACAAGCTTTCCAATCGAGTTCCATCTGTGGTTTCTGGAGGTCAGCAAAGCTGCAGATAACCCAAATCACAAATATTATTAACTCTATAACTGAAAAAGATTCAACATTATATAGTGAAGGTCCATGATAAATATTCTTTATTGGAGCCTCCAGATTTGAAATAGAATGAAATCCAGCTGCAAGATTCATCAAATAAGATGGCAGCTTGTGTGTGGTGATGCTTAAAAACAAAACTGGGGAAGCAGATTAGTTAACAAACAAATGAATATTCCTTGGTTTTCAAAGATTACAACATATTCCATCTCAACTTTCCAAACAAAAACTCCAAAACAGCAAAACCAGTGCCAAAACCTGCTGTTGATCAATCTCCTGTATCTAAGGCGTTGGCGGCCAACACCAACAGCACCCGATGTCACCAAATTAACCTCATATCCCTCAGAGTCAAGTTCTTGAATCTGCACTTCAATTGGAATTCAACAGTGTAACCATTGGTAAAAGCCAGTTGAAGCATTAATGAGACATGAAAGAATGTAAGCAGGACAGAATCCTTCAACTCACCTGCTCACAAAGTGCTCCTAATCTTCCAAGTGCTAATCTACCATCAGCTCGAGTGACCACAGCAGTTCCAACCTCCAAAAGAAAAGGTGTGACAGAAGAAATAAGTGCTATTATTTAGGCCGTAACAAAGCTGACTAGCCATAATTTTACATTTCTAAACTAAAAGCAGAAGTCGAAGAAGAACTATTTTGAATAGAAAAGCAACTTCGTCCGTTTTTAGCATTTATATTTCCTTCTCACAACCCTACCTCTCCAGTTTTTAATTTACAATATCTCTTACTTATAACAGTAATTAAACATTTTCGGCCAACAAGAGTTCGCAAATTTCCATATGCAACTTGAATACAAAATACCTGTATGTCAAAGTTCAAAAAATTACTCGAGACCTATAAAAATAAAGCTTACTCAAGAATCAGTCTACATTTCAATCAACCTTCTAATGCATAAGACATACAAATTATTCTCCCTTGAAATTATTGGTACACCTCCCCAGTTAGTCTCATCATCTACTGACCCATTATTTAATGTCCGGACTCAAAACATTTAAGAAGAACATGAAAATTGAATATGTTGTGTTTTCCTTTTTTCTTTTTTTCAAAGCAGAAAAGAAAAACAGTTATAACGACTATTTTTCTACTGAACCCCATTCCTAGTAAGTAGTAATCCAGTGGTTCAAAGGGTGAACCTTCACCTCTACATAAATTGGGAATTGAAATTCATTGCAATTCAGTAATACAAACAAATGTAAACCATTAACCATAATTATAGAATTCAAGTAAATTAACATAAATAAATAAATAAATAATGAAACAAATCCCGTGTACAATTTAAGTAATTACAAAAATCGGAGTTTGAATACTATAAATTTAATCCGAATAAAGAAAAGCAAATACATGGAAAATAAGAAATGTGACCTTGATGATGACACGTTTAACGTCTTTGACAAATGCACGCGTGGAATCCACAGCTTCCATTCTTGAGCTACACTACACTGAGAGTGAAGTATCGGTCTGGGCTCTGATTGTTAGCCTTTGTGTTGTGTGGCGGAGGCAAAAAATAACTAGACGGAATTGAACAAACAATAGGAATTTGCAGGCAGCGAAAATGAGGAGACACTCGTGACTAACTCTTGGTTTTTTATTGTATATATAAACACAAAATACGAAGCGGTTTGTATGTATTGTAGTACCACTATAGAATGACACTGCTGCAAGAGATCTGCTATTGAAAAGAAAAATGCTAGTCAACCAGGCATAAAAACAGGAAAAAAAGAAAAGACACACCAGACAGATGCATCATGCATTGCAGCAATATTAATTCTGGAAAGCCACTTGTCCAAATTAAAAAACAGGAGGCAAGAAACAGACTAATATGTCTGAAAATAATTGGATATTTTTGTTTTAATTTTTCAAATTGTCCAATTATGTGTCTGGCACATGTTCCATTTGAATTTGAGTGTGGATTACGCATAGAGAAATTCTTATATTTTTACTTGTTTGTCTGTCTTCTGAGCGTCAGCAATGAAAAGGCGCCACATAGGACCAACTGGTTCTAAAGCTGACGCGGCAATGCATCTTTTTAAACAAAGGCGGGCTGCATTTTTTAACGACCAAAACCGCTATGTATATTGGTTTACTTTCTGCTTGCTCAGCAAGTAATGGATTTCTTTTCCTTTTCTTTTTTATCTTTGGATATTGATGAGCGTGTTTCACCCATTATGTTAATGCTACTTAATTTTGATATTTCGTTTGATTGCTAAAGTTTTTAAAAGGCTTTAATTTGTATTTTCGTGTTGTCTTATAGGTAAGATAAATTGATGTGAATGATACGAAACCAGGAGACAATAATGATTTTGGCATGAATCAAGGAGAAGATGTTGATATGGTGAAACTTAATGATTGGAGGCTAAATTGAAATAAATAAGTAAATAACGACGAAAAATGATAAAATCCAGAATTTAAGGACTCAATCATAACTTTTCAATAGTTGATTCAAACCACAAAATGATAATTGAGGCGTGCTAAGAGTCAATAGAATGCAATTTGAAGTAAAAAATGAGTGAAATTATGATTTAAATATTTTCACAAATTATTTTTTCAACCGCACGAGTATGTTCCAAGTTTTTAGCCGAAAATTGAAACTCATTTTTGACATAGTAAATATTTGAATTGGAAAAAGCTAAAAGTAAAGTTGTGACCCTTTGAATTATCTTTCCAATATATTTTGAATTGTCCCAACTGAATATCGAGAGAAAAAATTACGATAAAAATATTGAAAACTATGATGTGCAATCGAAGATGACGTGAGCACCTAGGTGCCACATTGCCCATTTCTTCCCGAAAGTCAACATCGTGCCGCATATAATTAGGGTTTTTCAAGTTTAATTCATCTTTTAAAAGCTCAATTTCAATCCAACTTTTCTAAGGACTTCGAGAAGGCATAAATACCAACCTAAATTCCACTTTTAAAGGACTATTCAATCGAGCAAGAAGGAGAAAATCAATCGAGAGATCAAAAAGAATATCAATTCCCAATTTATGTAGAGGTGAAGGTTCAAAAAAGTTCTTAATCTTCTTTCCCTTTCAAGCTTCAAAAAAGTTCTTAATTTTCTTTCCCTTTATGTTATTAATCATGATTTGTATACTTTCTTTTACTATGAACTAAACTTTTCATCTAGGGTTTGACATAATCAAAATTTGAAAATATGGTTTGATTTATTTTAGTTATATCTATGAGATTTTCCAATTATATTTATTTGTGTTATTGCTTTAATGCTTCCAATTAACTAGCAACTAATTGAATGATTTAGTCAATTTCAGCACTCGAATATGGGAATTTAGGCGATATCACAACAATAACACAACCTAGAAAATTATAGGTCTCGAGAGAAAACATAATTCCTTTGAAGAATGTTCCACTTAAGAACCACGAACGTGATAATTTCTAGATTTTAATTCGAAATAGATATATTAGAATTAAAAATATAGGAACAGTTTTTACTCGGCACTCGAGAGAGTGGGTAAAATTATATTAGGGTTATTGCTTATAAACTTTGGAAAATTGATTAGAAATAATAATATAATTGGAAATCATGTTTGATAGTTAGGTGAAATCACAACCTCGGACTTTCTCATCTTGATTATTCTATTAACTTGCATTTATTTGTTGAATTCGTTACCAAATTCATCATTGGATTAGTTTAGAACTATTGATCTTATAATTCGAATTTTTAGATAAAATAAGAACTATTCAATTATAGTACTTAGTATAAAATTGATGCATGTGGGTTCGACATCCGTATTTGATCTTATATTACAAAACTCAACATCGTACACTTGCGATATAAATTACGTTATAGAATAAGCGTAACAAATATAGCATAAATCTTTATGTCTACGCGTAAAGCTCTTGCACACTTAAATAAACCGTTGGAAGCATGTAGCATTCTTCAGTGGTGAGGGGGGCAACAACAAACACTTTGACGATCAATTCAATCAACTGTAGAGGTGAAAATTAAACCATAATTACGTGTCCAGACATCTAGTTGTAGAGAGGAAACAAAAATGGGCAAGATAAATATCGAGAATGTAAAAAATTTATGTTCAAATGATATTAAGTACGAGTTTTTATAATAAAATATGTTAAGTAGTTATCGTTTGACGAAAGATATGTGACATCATTCTAATAGCAATGCGTCATTCCATAGGTGTCACATAAGCAATTTAGGTTCAAAGAGCATTTAATGACTTTGAAAAATGATCATCCTATAGTTTATGTCTGACATCTGAAAAGTAAACTGAGAGGCACTACTGTGTAGTTGTTAAATCAATCAATCATTCAGAAGATCTTGTACAAAAGATCTCTTAAAAGAGGCAAAGCTAAGAAGATGCTTTGTGGGTTCAAAGGCTAATTCATTCGAAAATAAATTGTAGAAACCGTAACACCTCACCTTGACCATAAATGGTTGGGCTCAATGTGACGCTTCGATTGAAATGAAGTTGTCACTTCAGCCATCTCCATTTAATTACCTCGACTGGGCTAGATATGTCAGTAATGTAAAATGCAGCCTAAAAATGGCTTGTTAACTGACTACCACATGGACATCGATTAGTGTCTCATAGATGAGGCATAATAATATCTTATTGTATCAATTTTATGTACTCAAATTACTTGGGTGACCTCATCAGTCATATTCAACTCTAAATATATTTAAATAAGAAATAATCAAAATCAAGTTTGTTTTCTCCAAGAAATACTTAGAATGAAATTGACATTATTCTTAGATCAATTCTCCATTAATACAAGGTGCTACTTTAAAGCCTCGATAGAAAAGAAAGCACTAAATATATTATTATTATCCAATAATTGCTGTTAACCAACAAGATAATATCCAAATTACACTTCTTCCCGACCCCTAACATGGCCTAGTCATTAGTCAACTAATAAAAACTACTTAAATTTCGAAAAACATATCTAGCCTTTTTATTATTCACTTTAACAATAGAAGTAAAAATGAACTTGAGTTTTCCAAATCTCACAGCTGTAATTGACTCTAGCCTCCACCAAATACATACCTAACCAAAGGCATAGAAGATGTCGACAGACAGACCCTATAAATAAAGCTGAATGGATAGCAGTAGCCAAAACAAAGTGCAACAGTTTCGACAACACTCGGTAGAAGAAACAAACAAAAATGTCTTCGAGGCAATATTTGTATATTTACAAAAATTAGAATCTAAACAAAAACAAATATTCTAAAAATATTGTTTATCTACGTGACTCAAAAAGACTAAACCCATGTTCAAATTCCTCAACTTTCATACACAACAAAACCACTACCGCTAAATTGCCGTTAACCAACAATAGGCTTCAACTCCATTTCACAAACTCTTCACCCCAAATGATAAAATTGTCACCCAAGAAGCACCAAACCAAAATCAAGCTTTATGCGAAAAACCACATCTTGATGAAGATTGCCAGACCCATTTGCAGGATAAATGCAGAAATAACCACAATTGTAATTTCACTTTCGTTTATATAAGATCTGAGGTTCAAAGCAACAAAGCTGGCTGATGCACCGCCAACAAGTAATATGATAGTCCATCGCAGAAACTCAAATGGAATAACCAACAGGAACTGAACATATTCAAGGAAACAAGTCAGATCACTGCATTATTAATTTAAATTACAGTCAGGAGGAGACAACAGAAAAACATAACCAAATAAAAAACTTAGCAAATTCATCATTATATTCATCGGTCAAAGTCACACATAGCAATTAGTTCACATGAATGTCAAACATAAAGCAAGGAACCTCAAATTCAGGAACAAAAAATCTTGTGCATCAAGAAAAAATACTTAGCACCAATGATTTAAGATAACCTAGATCAAATACTGAAAAATCTAGTTAAACAATTATACTTTTTGGGTAAGGTTAAAGAAGCCAAGTCTAACTTCTAATATGAGCTTATTTGGGAGAAACTTTTCAAATGAAAAATGAATTTTTTGGATAGTGTATGGTTAAAAAGTAGGGAAAAGTTTAAAAATGATTTTCAAAATCTCTCTTCAGAAGCAAGCTCTAAACTTGGGTGAGTTATGTGAATTGTGTTTCACCAGTGGTTGATCCAGCCCAACTCGATGAAAGGCCTATTGAAATCAAATCTTTTACAACCACCTTATAGCATCTCAATCTGTTCTCTGCCTCCCTCTTCTAACAATATACTACTAAGATCATTCTACTCTTGTTAGTCTTGTGGATACTTGTATAGGTCTATGCAATTTTCACCATATGGACATTCTGCTGTTTCACGACCAAACATTCAGTATCATAATATAACTGGTCTAATAGAACTTGCCTGTTAACTTGATAGGTACATCTTATTGGCATAAGTACCTATAGCATTTCTCCATTTTGTCCAATTCATAATAATTCTGTGCATTACATCCTCTACAGGTGATCAATCTTTGTGATAATTTAACTTAGATATATGAAAACAATCACTTGTTGAGATAACATCATCCTCCAATAAGATTCGTATCAATCCAACTAAATTGGTATTACATTTATTATGTACCTCTCAATTTCAAATTGTTCCATTAAAGATGTGGCATAAGATTTATTCAATCCCAGTATAAACAACTAAAACTATATAATCATACGATTTATTCAATCCCAGTATCACCAACTAGAACTATATAATCAGACAATAACACATACCAAGAGACTTCAGCTTGTATATATCCCGTAAAAATCAAATAAAAAAATCTCTAACTACGTAGTCTACATTTTCATTTTTCTTTACAATAGTTTGTGAAACATCCACATACAACCATGTTCATATATGCAAATTGCATTGATCAGAATGAATAGACACAGCAATATATAGCATATGTTAAAAACCAGTAAGCTTATTCTCCTTCAAATTAGCTCCAGGGAACTTATGGTGATAGGACGACCAATCTTATGAGAGAAACTACCTTCAGAAGCCCATGAGTTCCTAGCAACGGAAGCTTAAAGAAATACCTTCCAAAAAAATGTTGTGTCACTGGTAGAACTTGTATTATGTAAAATCATTTGAAAAATAAAAACATATAGTTTGGTAGCTTTTCGGTTTGCTAAAGCTGGACATAATTCTTGAATTGAATGCCCCACGATTAATTTATCGGAAAAAACATAGACAGAGCAGGCACATATACTTACAGAGCTTAGAATGAAAATGAAAAGGGAATATCCCCACAAGCACCAAAAGCGTATGAGGCTTGCATTTGATCCCAGGTACTGAAGCAAAAAGTAATATGCCAGTGGTACTATCAACACATAACCGTATATGGAGCAAGCTGCCACGTTTAAATAACTGACGTCGAAGGTCCATGAGGTACTGTGATCACTTCTTCTATGCATTAGGTAGGTAGCACAATTTCCAAGGGAAGCAATTGCAAATACCAATGTAGTGGAGATCCAGACAAGTCCATAGCTAAAAGATGGGGGAAAGAAAAAGAAAAGTCAGGGAAAGAGCAGCAATGCCAAAAGATGAAGTCATAAAGTGGAAAATGGACATTGAAAATATATAACAGGAGAACCAGAATGAAAACTAGAATGGTATAGATGCTATCTGTGCAATTCATAACCAACGGATTAGAGATTATAGTCTCTTTTTCCTCTACTCTTTTCTAAAGCTTCCGGAAGATGTTTCAGTTTCATAATTTAGTTGTTTGCTTTAAAATTTCCGCCTAGTAATCTTGTATAGTCAGATAGTCCTTTGCTGTATAGATTTTTAAGTATAATTCTGGTTGTCAATAGCCTGGAGAAAATAGCAAACTATATTACAGGGGAGGAGGGGGGAGAAAGAATAACATATTATGAGGATGTGGACTTAGAAAACCTCCAGCCAGCCCAAATTTGAGATGAAAATAATATTTATACACCTTTTCCCTCTCCCTCGCATTGTAAATCTTCTATTTCTTTAAGTCTTAAGTGTCCATCCTTACACAAAACACCATTGAAAGGTAAGATACTCTGGTTAGCACAGCAATAGAAAGAAGGCTGGAGAGTACATATCTTTAAGTCGAGAGTAAAGTTACGGTGAACAGCCGTCTGATGGAAAAAGATTTTCACGTTCAGTTAAGAAAGCACTTTTTTCATAGAGATTCTCATTTCCTTTTACATGAATTCCCCAGCAGCGATTTCAATCATTTTAATCTACCTACCAAATTGGAAAAGATGACATTTTGTCATCAATTATTATTTCATCCTTAACCCACAAGGCCTAATCACTTCTTTACTCATGGAAATGTACTTCATTAATCATAGATAGATGCCATTTTAAAATTTATAATCACTTGGGAACATGAGAAAGATCATAGGATTCATCAAATAATTCTGGAAAGTGAAAAAACCAAATTTTCATCTTGAGCAGTCGCTATTGGCAGCTAATATTTTCAAAATATCTTCAGTAGGATGGAAGTTGTCAACACTAATAGAAGTACTACAGAGTTGGAAACTAGAAATGGCCCATGGAAACATGACCACAACTGTTAGACCGTATCAACATTAATTATATTACCACAAGTAAGAAACAGTACACTATACTCCCATTTGCAGTGCATTTATAACTTGCTTGGAGTGCATTTGAGCTGAAAAAATTAATAGGTAAAATTTCGAGAACTTGAGATGAAAAAGTTCATTTAAGAGCAGAATATCCCCAGTTTAAAATGTAAAAAATTTGGAAAGTGGTCTGACTAGACAATTTGCTGCTACTAACTACTGTAGACAACCAATATGAATATGTGGCGGAGATGAACAAATGATAAAATCAACTTGTGTTAAGGCATCTGTAGCTGTAATGCAGTAATTGCAGATATTTACGAAGTCTGAGTCAGAAGATAAAAGAAAGTTCCTAAATTAGAAGACAAGGAATTGAGCATTTCGTGGAACTTATCACAGCATTCTTCTATATTATGCATCAATTTGTCAAATGTCAACAGCAGCCAAAATATTTGCAATAGACTGTTAATATTGAGATTGAATTCATCCTTTGAATTCATCGTTTCAGCATCTCACTTTGAACAATATTGGTGAAAAAGAATTAATTAGAGAAGAAATGCTCACAGCTCATCAGTTTTGCATCATCAAATGGTATGTATGTAAACCATGCACACTTTCATTTCAACTTAGTCTTCTGGAGAAAAATTGTCAGAAATCAACTAGTTCAAGTTTTCCTGATTCCCTATCAAATAACATTCAGTTACCTAGTTCAAATTCCTGTATTTCACATCCAAATCTTCATAACATAAGTGAACACCTACGTTGAGGAAAAATTTATCTCGAAGCCAAAACACATGGATATAGAGAGCTGGAGAGTATGCAGGAGAGGAGAAGTCGTGCCAGGGATTTTACATGAAGATACTACATCGTATACTCAGTTAAAAAGATGCCTTTTTCAAAAAGTGGTTTCAAATGAAGAAACGAAACGAAATTGACAATTCCAGCAATGTCAAAATAAAATCCATCTCCAAAAAATGTAACTTACAGGTCTGGATTGGCATCAATCTTGCTGAAAAAATCTCCACTTATAGGATACAAAGAACTGATCAATCTGTTCAGCACAACATCGGTATCTACATTAAAATATTGCGTGTAAGAAGAGATGCTAAAAACTCCTTTCCAGTTGTTTGTCAACTGTTGTTCATCTCCATCTGCAGGAATTATCAGGTAGAGTGTAATTAGCTGTTTGAGCAAGAGTATTTGCTTCATTGTTGGAATCATCAGGGTATTTTAATACGCATAAAAAGGTTTGGATGACAAATCCGTTTCAAAATTTGTGAGAAAGCAGAAGAAATGATGCATGGACATTATAAATGTCAAGGAATCATGACAAATCCGTTTCAAATGTAAAATTTGATCTATTTATCTTTAGTTTCACAATAAAATTACGAGCAACCCTAACGTGCTTTGCTTGTAAAAGCACCAAAAGCAGAAAGATTATGTGTTTTCTCAAAGGCCAAATGGCACTATGCTCAGATTACGATTTGGAAATTGAAAAGGGAGATCTGTAGCCCTTCCCCCTGGGCTATTTCAAGGGATTTCCATACGGTTTCATATCTAACTAAGTATTATATTTTAATAGGGGCAAAAAACCATGAGTCATAATCCAATAATGTTGTTACTTTCCTCCGTTAGACAATGCATGTTTGAAGGATATAGGCAATACCCATTGGTATTCCAATACAAGACACCAAAATTGCTGGAAGACTCATTTTGTTCTAGAACATGTCCGAATCATGAATTCACAAATGAACTTTAAAAACAAACTAGCGTTCAATTAGTAGCCAAACCAAACAGACAATTTATCTATTAAACAAGTGACAGAAGTACTAGATGCTGTTATCAAGTTCTCCATGTTCCTTACTAGGATCTGTCATTAAAAAATATGGATGATACTACATACCACTGGTACCACCAAGAGTTTGGTATCCTGTGCCCCTGCTTGCACTATTATTGGGAGGAAATATTTGCAAATTTGCACCAGGAACTGCACAGAATCCAACATTCCATTGAAAGGTGCATTGTTTTAGGCAACAGAATGTGGAATTGTAAGAGAAAATATTCAATTCTCATTGATAATTCGAAGAACTTTACAGAACTATACATATGGGGACACAAAATTTACAGGATAAGGAAAGATTTTGAGAGCTAGTTCCATTTCTAATAGCACTGGGAACATCTAAGTCATCAAAGGTCTCCATATTGCTAGATTCTGAGATTGTTGGAGGTGTGATTTAAATTAGACTCTTGGCAATCAATAGGATGTTGATTTTCAGTACCATCCTCCTAGAATAGACACAAAGCTCAGAAGCCCAGGTTGATTTTTTTCGAGTAGATTCTTCCCCTGCCACCATTTCTTCCGATGGCACCACAACATTGTTCCTGACGAAATCAAGCTGCTTAGATTGTTCATGACTCAATAAGTTGTTCAAGAAAACTTGGTAAAATAAGACTGACCTTCAAAAAATGTGAAATTGGTAGTCACAGAATTTTTTGGAAACAGGATCAAAACATTTGTATCTTTTTTGCATTGATGAATATACTACAAATACAAATTTTAAAGGATGGGGATCAAGTTTGATCTATGTGGTGCAAGAATTGGAAAGAAGCAACGCATCCAAATATTTTTTGGTTATAGTGATGTGAAATGTTAAGAATGAGGATATTTTTTTGAAAGAACATCAAGAGGTTTTAAAATCTTATTATCTTTGTTGGCATCTGATTAATAAAATAAGCTGCCGTTAAAAATGCTTCACCCCGAAGATATCTAGGAACTTCATTTGTAAACATGATGTCCTTAGCAACTTTTGAGTAAATGTTGACTCTTTCTTTAGGTAACAGTTTGGCTGAGTGTTAAAACATGAAGATCGATGAAAAATGCCGTATTCTTTTTAAAAATCTCCAAGATAGCATTGATATATTCTTCTCCATTATCCATATGAAGAATTTGAATGTGTTTGAAATTGAGTGCGAAATCATGGCATAAAAATCTTTAAAAACTTTTGAGGCCTCAGACTCTACTTTTAGAAGGTAAATCCAGCAGACCATTGTGTGATCATCAATGATGCATATAAATCATTGAGACCAAGTTGTGTTTAACAATTCAGATGGCCTCCAGATATGACTATGTAAAAGAGAGAGAGATTTTGATATTTTATATGACTGAGGAGGAAAATGAACTCGATGATGTTTAGATAAATGGCAAAACTCACGATGAAATTCTGAAGGATTATTGTTCTTGAACAAAGCAGGAAATAGTTTTTCTAAATACGGAAAGGTAGGATAGGATTACCAAGCTAATAATGCTATAAGAGTGTTTTATTTTCAGCAGGCAGAAAGAAAACTACTGTTTACAACTTGAGCTTGTCGATGTTGAAAGAAATTTACCGTAAAATAGTAGTCCATCAACCTCTTTAGCCTTGCCAATCATCCTTCCCCAAACTTATATATTGGGATTTCATCTTAAATGGTTAACCTTATTAAGAGGAAAAACTCAAACCCTTATACATTGATCTACATTTCAGTATTTAACCAATGTCGAATTTATCCCTTAACATTTTCCCACGATATGGTGGCTCATTTGAGCTGACTAATCTTAGAATCCACATGCTCATAAGAGTTTTAGCCAAATTGAATTGTTCGTTGGATCTTAATGGACTTTAATACCATATTGATAATAGAAAATATTAAATTCTCATTGATAATTATGAAGCTATATATAGGGGAATTCACAATTTACAAACAAGATAAGGAAAGTATATTGTAAATAGCTTATCCAGCCTAAGACTAGGGATTTACAACAGCATATTAATCAAATCAGATAAAATTAAATCTGGTTGATTAAGTCAGATAAGATTGATTGAATCAAATCAAATTTGAAGCAAGTCAACTCAGATTAAACCAAATCCGATTTTCCCACACAGAACAATGAGGGCCTGTTTGAGCCATATTATTCCAAAAAAATGCATACTTAAACAGTGATTTGACATCATTTCAACCACACATTCTTCAATAAAATAATATTACACGCAAATAAAAAAAATTTCCTTATTTTTTAACCACACATTTCCCATCAATACACTATTCAAGAATGCATTATTACCAAAATAATGTAGCTCAAACACCCCCTGAATATGAAAGAAGTATTATAAGATTTCTTACCATCTTGGCTAGAGGGCGTCTTTTCTTCACTAACAACAGCCTGCGCATTTGTAACAAATTTATTATATAGAAGAATAAATAAATATGCTAAAAAATCTCCAGTTTATAACTATTTGGTTTTCAAGCATATAATTTGTTTAACACTATAATTCCCTGGGAAACTAAAGAGGCCTTCCAATCAGAAAAGGGAGAAAATCAAAAGAGGGGAGGAGAATGCGAATAAGAATTAGTTTACATATAAATGAGGTGTGAAAAGAGAGAGGTGAAAATTTTGTTCATTATTTTGTTCAAAAAATTATGACCCAATTACATCTCACCACATCATGTGGATATAAACAGTTATATAAACCATCATGTACATGTAACACAACTATACAACTAAATTCACATTGAAGTTGAAATAATTGATTTCACAATTAGATCTATGAGAGCTTCATTCCTGCTACTAACTTAAAATATAGTCATCCATCAATAAGAAAACTATAAATTATGATGATAAACTGTCTCTCGCCACTTAACAAAAGAAAATGCTCTAACCATTGTCAGGCAAATCAGCCATAATGAAATCACTTGTGCACTCAATCTAATCACCTCAATAGCAAAATCAATTGAATTACGATCCCTAAAAGCCTTAACGCACCTAGTTTTCCACCTTAAAAAAATAAAAAATAAAAAAAAAATCATCTAAGCTCGTACGACTAAGTAATCATCTTCCAAGGTAAAAACGAGTCACCAAATATTTCTTGTACTTCCAAAACAAGCATTAAATTTAAAAACTAAATAAATGAAAGATAGAAAATAGTCGTCCTCATGAATGAGTACCCGTAACACTTCAAATTTTTTATATCAGCTCCAAATTTTCAGAGCTTCGGTATAGAACGCTACAAAAAACGAAACCTTCCCAATTGATTAATTAGATGGAAATGCAATCAAAGATTTCATAACAAAGCCCTCTCCCAGGAAAATTCGCGCATAATTATGATCAGGAAAAAAAAAGGCTATGGAGACAAGCATATTAAATCATTTATAGTACAGTAATGATTGTGAAATCTGGAGAGAGTAGTGCACCGGTACTGAGCCAAGCAAGTAGCTGGTGGGAAGACTGCTGAAAGACTCGTCCATCGGAATCAATTAAAAAAAAAAGTAGTGAAAGAGTGTGTACGAAATTGATTTAGATAATTGTTACGCCTCATTTTATGAGCCTCGGAACCACTCCGACCCCCCGAAGCCTCTCCGAAGTGATACACCGATTCCTGCCACTGATCTGTCGAAGTGTCCCGTCTCCGAGGTCGGTTCAAGTGGCTTGAACCCCCGTTAGAAGATTCGCTGCCAATTTAAGATTTGCTCTGCATATAAGGTTTAAATTGATGTGACGTCCCCCATAAAGCTATTTGATGTGACTTATCAACTTTATGTCAATTCAACTCGGGGGAAACAAACTGTCCGCCCACTCTACAAGCGCGGCTGATTGACGCCTATGAGCAGACGCTTCATACCGTCAGATGTATACACGTGTTCCACATCCCACGGTTCATACCACCTATAAATACCCAAAGATTGGCCAGAGGCAAAGGGAATGAAACTCTCAATAGATAGCACTCCATAACAAGTTTATATATTCTCCTCCCCCTTTATTGACTGATTGATTTGTGTATTCCCTGGACACTGTTCCGACCACCCAAACCTGACTTGACCGTCGGAATGTATACGGCCGCCACCCCCGTTGGTTCCGGCCGTGTGCGCCTGACAGTTTGTTCATCTCGTAGGGAGGAATACGTGGAGTAGCTACAAGTTGGCCACGTGGAAGAGCCATTTTTAGAGGTCAACAGGATGCCATACACATTGATTGTATTTTTTGATGTTAGGATATCATAGAAGACAAATCAAGTGCTTCGTATAAGGCTGTATCAACATCCAACTGCACTTAAATGAGGAACTCATCTTGAATGCAACCGGGTAACAATCATAAGACTTTGAGCAGAGCATTGATCACCACCTTTTTCAATTTAACTGCACATTGCTTGCCGTTAGCCAAAGGGAGGGCATGTAAGCACAGTATTTCAAAAATAAATGGTCTTCTTCTTTGGCCTCAATTGAAAAATGAAACATAAGCATCATTGATATGATAATTTTCCTTTACTCGTAAGTGAAAAAATGCTGTTTACTTTGAGAGTGAATGTGTAATGTGTTTCGCCTTTGACTAATGAAACCTTATTTATTTTAAACCTTGTTCATTTATTTATAATTGAATTTTTTAAGATTAAGCAAACATGCTCCAAGTTCGTAAATAAATTAACTGGAATATAAAAACACATAACGAGTATTTACCTGGCTGCTGTGTCCACTCTCCTTTTTCCTGCAGCTGACAGCACGAGGGTGCAATCGAGCATAGTATCTGCAATAGAAAATTGATGCAAAATAATTTGAATTACAAAACTAATCCACATTTATATAGAAAAGACCATCGTAATATTATAAATAAATTAAACTGTATTGAAACCGCAAAAGAATAGGTCCCCCTTAGGCTTAGAATTTGTGTTATAACAAATGAAATTTCACGAAAGTATAATGCACCAAATAAATTCTAAAGTTCAAGTGTATTATAATTTTCAACATTATCTTTCACTTTCAGTACAATTTTTCCGCAAAATATGTAGCAAGAGACAACATATTAAGCCAATTCTCATGTTCGCAGCAGCATATTAAGGATGGAAACAACCTTTCTGGAAGTTGTAATCCGAGAGAGTGCCCACCTTAAAGTTGCTTGCCTGCGAAAATCGAACGCTGCTGGGTCGGTGGAATTCCTTAAAAACATTTTTTTTGAAAAATACTTTTCACTAAATTAAATTAATCAAATCTTTGTTTTTTTAGACATATTGAAGTGGTGCGCCTATGTTACTATTGCCAGATTTCGATGTCATAAAACTAGACTAAATCTTAGCATAGATTACCTTCTTTGTCTTGAATCTGGCCTTTACATTGTCGATGGTGTCACTTGACTCGACCTCAAGCTTTATGGTTCTGCCCGTTAGGGTTTTCATGAATATCTGCATTTTTACTTTATTTCGCAGTTCAACTTGCGATCAGTATTGAAACGAGTTTATATATTGATGCGGTTAGTGTTTAGGGAAATCTTGATTAGGACTGGGCAAATCTTCCAAATCGAATTGAATTCGACGATTCTTGTCAAATTAAATATCTGAAATGAGAATCGACGAGTACGGTTCAGTTCTCAATTATAGACCAAGAACCGAATCTTTCTAATTTTTTTTATATTGAATAAATCAAATTATTTTAATTTTAATTTTTTCCAAACAAATTAACAATATCTAAGTTCAATTTTTTGGTTTAATTTTTGGCCCAACCCGTTTTATTGCTTCATTTCTAATTTTTTTAATTTTTGGCACAACATGATCCAACCCAACTAAATAACCCTAAACAGTAAACTAAACACCTACAAGCATAACATTGTTTGCCTGTCTCAACTCTCACAACCTCGCTGACATTTCCAAACCTATATACTGAAGCTGTGACCTTCGATCGAAGCTGTGACGTAGCGATCATTTGAACAAGGCAGTTTGCTAGTTTCTGACATTTCAAAACCATTGCAATTATTTAGAAATGAAGGGGTTAAATGGTCATATGTTTTTATTGAGTTATTTAGCTCTAGAGAATTTGTACTTTCTGTTGAATTTTGCTTGAAATTTGTTGAATTTGTATTTAGGCCCGTAGTTGAAGAATTTGTATTTGATTTCTAACTTTCTGTTGAATTCCACTTGAGAGACCCGAGAAGGAAATTATAGGATGGCCATTCCAAAATGCACATGTATTGCCATTGATATTGAAATTCATGCAAGAGGCAACAAATGGAGCTTTTGTACAGTCGGTCTTGATTCTCCCACCTTGTGTTGCCCAATCTTCTGCATTCCAACCGCTGCAGTATACTCTCATGGGCTGATTTGTTGTGAATGGAATGCCAATTGTTTGGTGGTTTTTGAATACTCCGATAGAAATGTTGTCCACCAAGAAGCTGAAATTCATAACTAAGAGAAATATTATTAATTTGCCCATAGTTCTAGGAATAATGAAAATGAGACTTAAGGGCTTTGTATATTGACTTACATGATTAGTTAGCAGTTAGCTTATACTCTTTAAGGGTATTCTAGAATGTTTTGCTAGTTTCTCTCTGTTCATTCGTTAGCATATGATGATTTTGTTCCACATTGTTTGTGTAGGACTTAATCAAGTTTCTTGTTAAAGTGATAACAATTCTGGATGCTCAAGTGGGAGACAAAAGCAGCCTACTGAGAGGTCAGAAATATGGAATCATTTCACTAAGATATTTGGTGGAGAAAGAGCAAAATGTAATTACTGTGGGAGAACATTTAAGACTGAAACTAATAATAGAACTTCTAGCATGTGGAAGCATTTAAAAACTTTTTATGCATATAAGAACACTAAAATTGATGAAAGCCAACCACTACTCACTCGAGAAAACAATGATGGTGGTATTATGGCTATGGTGTTTAATAAAGAAATGTGTAGAAAAGCATTGGTTAAGATGATTATTATTGATGAATTGGCTTTTTCCTTTGTGGAAGGTGTGGGTTTTAAGGAATTTGTTCATCAACTTTGCCCTAGATTTCGGGTTCCTTCTCGAAGAACGATTACTAGACCATGAAACAAAGGAATCGTTGAGAATTAAATTTATTAACGATAGGCAAAGGATTTCTCTAACAACTGATTGTTGGGCATCAATTCAAAACATCAATTATATGGTAGTCACAGCACGCTTTATTAATAGAAGTTGGAAGCTGTACAAGAGGATGTTGAGTTTTTCTGTGGTTCCAAATCATAAAGGGAAGACAATTGGGAAGATTATTGAGACGTGTTTTCTTGATTGGGGAATAGAGTGTGTGGGTATCATTACTTTAGACAATGCAAACACAGATGATGCAGCGATCGTTTATGTGAAAAACAAGTTGAAGAATTGGAAACCTGATGATACTATGATTTTAGGTGGCCCTTATCTGCATGTACGTTGTTTAGCACACATAGCCAATTTGATTGTTAAAGAATGGTTGAAAGAGTTTAATCCATCTATAGATAGTATTCGCAATGCGGTAAAATATTTCCGATCACCTCCTTCCCGGTTGACAAAATTTAATTGTTGTATTGAAAGGGAAATGATTGCATGCTCAAAACTTGCTATTTTAGATGTTCCTACTAGATGAAATTCAACATTCTTAATGTCGGATAGTGCATTGAGTTTTGAATTTTTTGAAAGAATGGAGGAAGATGACGGGTTTTATTGTAAATATTTTGATGAAAATGAAGGTGGAAAAGAAAAAGAGGGGCCACCTACAAGTTATGATTGAGAGAAAGCTAGAAAATTTGTCAAATTTCTAAGAACCTTTTATGATATCACATTGAAGTTTAGTGCTTTGTTGAGTGTTACTTCTAATATTTACTTTCAAGAAGTTTGTAAAATCAAGCAAATTTTGAAGAAAATGGGTGAGAAGCAAGATTATTTGCTAAGTAGTATAGCAAATATCATAAAAATTAAGTTTGACAAGTATTGGAGTAAAATTGATAAAATGAATAAGATTTTGATTGTAACAATCGTGCTTGATCCTAGGTATAAGTTGGAATTTGTTGTACATTGCATTGGTATTTTGTATGACAGTGTTAAAATTGAACCCACTAAAAATAAGGTCATGAAATTATTGTATACTTTGTATAACCAACAAAAGGAATGGCATCGTTCAAACAATGGATCTAGTGGAAGCGGAAGTGGGGGCGATGAATCTAATGATGGAGTCACTTTGTTGGAGGATTCGAATGATGACGATGATGATAGGGGATGATTGCAATTTTGATTTTGGGTATAAGAAATTGAAAACTACCAAAATGAATTTTCCTGGAAAAGATGAGGTACAATGATATCTAATGGAATCCATTAAAGATGCTAGTGATGAAAATTTTGACATTTTGAATTGGTGGAAGATCAATAAATCAAGATTTGAAATTTCATCTGAGGTTGCAAGGGATATTCTTGCCATTCCTGTATCTACAGTTGCTTCTTAGTCGGCATTTAGTATTGGAGTGCTGAACCTCCTCCTCCGTCGGAGGCTGAAGTCTCTTACTGGCCTCCACCAGCTCCTCCATTTGCTTCTTATATGAAGAGGAGGAGGCCTTCAGTGCCCTTGCTTCAGCCATCATTTTCTGAATAGTTTTGAAGTCAGGGCGTACTGGCAGCTTCTTGTTGAAGTTATCTGCAAAGAAAAGAATGAGGAATTAAATACAAAGTATTGGGAGTTCAGTTTAAAAGAGTGTGGGCTTCGGTCCTATTACCTTGGGACGCCATTAATTCGTGAGTGACGAAGTGTATGTTTTTCCGAATGAGCCTGTGATATGACCTCTTCTTCTGAGGCAGTTGATAAATAACGCAAATAATGTCGAAGTCCTCTGTCGACAGCTCGCACCGAGGGAGGGAACCTGCGAAAAGAAACATCTGTTAAACAAGCCCGACCGAAGAGAAATAAGATATCAACTACTATACTCACTAAGTGTTGAAAACTTCGCCGGGACTGTAAGAGGCGCCAGGGGGTCCCCCTCCATTGTGTCCCATCGCCCCGCTGCCCAGCACCAAGAGCTCTTCCATTCCTTGATGGAGCTCGGCAGATCGATCACAAATGGAGTGTGGGAACCCCACGACGTCAGGTAGTACCAGCCCCGGGTCTTATCCCCCCCGGCAGTAACCTTGGGTATGTAAAGAGTTTGAAAAACGGAAAGGGGCATCTCCACTCCTAACGACACCTCTTTCCACAACATCCAGGAGCCCACCATCTGGCTCCAGGAGTTCGGATTGAGCTACGTCGGGGCTAGCCCGTAAGACCTAAGCACCAACCTAAAGAACGGGTGAATAGGCAGCCTAAGTCCGGCCCTAAGGATCGCCTCGCTAATGGCCACGCAGCCCGGCCTTGGGTAACAAGCTCTCTCTTCTGGCCCTGGGAGAATCAGGTCCACACTATTCGGGATCCTATATTCCATCCTAAGTCTATCAAGGTCGGCCTCCCTCAACTTTGATGGGTAGTCCGATGCCCCCCAGTGCACAGAAGTATCCGGAGGGCTATCCGGTCGCTTCCACATGTTTTTCCCTCCCATTATGGCCCCAGCTATTTCTGAGGAGGTCGCCACAATGGGCTCGTCCACCCTCACAATCTCTAAACTCCTACCCATACCAGAACTCCCTTCCGAGGCCATTCGTTAAGAAATTTTTAGTCTAAATGGGTACTGAAACTTACGATTTTGAAAGTGTTTCCTAGCCGGAAATGGTGCAAGATCGTCGGAAATATCGCTCTCTCTCTCGCCGGACTTGCCTGTAGAACGTCGGGAATCGCCAAAAATTTGGGAGAAAAATTTTGTTTTTTCGTGGTAAAGGTAGAAACTCTGATAAGCCCCCAAAGTTCACCTTTTATAGGAAAGACAAATCCAATCTCCACCTTTGAATTCAAATACGATCAATCTGAACCGTCCGTTGTATTCTCGATCCCACTCGTTGAAATGAAACGCCAGATTTGATCTACGCCCAAGATGTCGCTGTGGCTTTCACGCTAAATTGAAACGCGTCGCCTCGGTTACCAACAGCCGTCAATAATAATTACTGGCCGCGGCAGCCTTCTAGGGGAATGGGCGTGGTACCCAACTGTCACCTTGGAAACACGCAACAGTTGTCAAATCATTGGACTTCTGGGTCGTATCGGATAATCTCCTCCCCCAACTTTACAAAGCTTAGCCGCAACCGATGCGAAGGCCCCGGTCGCTAATCACTTCGGGCGCTGCGTTCCCACCTTTGCTTTACAAAGTTCTAGCCATCTCCCCACGTGTCGACCCTCTTTTTCCGCCAACGCTTCGGCGAGAAACGAGTCCCCCAACTTAACAAAGCCTGGACGCACCCGATGCAAGCGCCCCGTTTGCTATCGCCTTGGTCGCTGCGCCCCTCTAGTGCTTCGCAAAGCTTGAGCCGTCTCCCTCTTCCTGACAACGCTTCGATGAAGATGAATCCCTAAAAATTTCTATAACGCTTTAACGAACCCGACGCGAGAGTATCATCGGCTCATCGCCTCGGCTCTGCGTTCTTCCAATGCTCTACAAAGTTTCAGCTACCCCCATGCCGCGATCCGGTCAGGAAAACAAATCCACGTATAATATAAATATTCATTCTCAGATTTGGGGGACCACTGTTACGCCTCATTTTATGAGCCTCGGAACCACTCCGACCCCCCGAAGCCTCTCCGAAGTGATACACCGATTCCTGCCACTGATCTGCCGAAGTGTCCCGTCTCCGAGGTCGGTTCAAGTGGCTTGAACCCCCGTTAGAAGATTCGCTGCCAATTTAAGATTTGCTCTGCATATAAGGTTTAAATTGATGTGACGTCCCCCATAAAGCTATTTGATGTGACTTATCAACTTTATGTCAATTCAACTCGGGGGAAACAAACTGTCCGCCCACTCTACAAGCGCGGCTGATTGACGCCTATGAGCAGACGCTTCATACCGTCAGATGTATACACGTGTTCCACATCCCACGGTTCATACCACCTATAAATACCCAAAGATTGGCCAGAGGCAAAGGGAATGAAACTCTCAATAGATAGCACTCCATAACAAGTTTATATATTCTCCTCCCCCTTTATTGACTGATTGATTTGTGTATTCCCTGGACACTGTTCCGACCACCCAAATCTGACTTGACCGTCGGAGTGTATACGACCGCCACCACCGTTGGTTCCGGCCGTGTGCGCCTGACAGTTTGTTCATTTCGTAGGGAGGAATACGTGGAGTAGCTACAAGTTGGCCACGTGGAAGAGCCATTTTTAGAGGTCAACAATAATCATTAAATCTGATTCAAATTGTTGATTTGCAGCAAATTTTGAGTTCTTTCTCGAATGGTTTATTCTCTATTTCGAGAACAGCCCTAAATTTCCATTTCTCCACAGCTTCGTTGCTATGGTCCCCCTTTTTTTTTTTAAATGTTATTTTTAAACAATTTTTTGACATTATTTCAATTACAAATTTTTCAATAAAATAATATTACACGATAAATTCAAATTTTTTACTTATTTTTTAATCACACATTTCTCATCTATACACTATTCAAAAATAAATTTTTTCCTCAAATTGGGGCTCAAACAAGAGCAAAGTATGATAGGCCCATTTATTTTATACGAATTAAAATCATAGATTTATAATTTTTCAACCACATATTTCATTAAATTTTATCCAAATTTACTAAAAATCTTATTTTAATTCTCATCAAACATGGGATGTATGTCAACTAGATATTTAACAATGTTTGGTAGAAATTTTAATTTAAATCAAATTCAACAACTAATGTTAATCATACATTTTATGAGATGCACAAATTTTTAATTACACATTTCATTAAAAAATTTGGTTTGAGGCTTAATTTCTTTTAAAAAATGATAGAAATGAAAAGAAGAAAAAGAAAATTTTGTTTGAGCCCGGTTTCTTTTATAAGAATACATTTTTAAATAGCGTATTGATGAAAAATGTATGGTTAAAAAATTAAAATAAAATTTGAATTTGTCTATAATATTATTTTATTAAAAAGTATGATTGAAATAATATCAAAACATCGTTAAAAAATGCATTTTTTTCCAACGAACCGGCTCAAACGGGGTATGTTGTGATGAAACTGTCAATTTTGATGTTAAAATCAAGTCAAATAATGTAAATTTCTCTCTAGTCACGTGAGTTTATATTGATGATTTTAAAAGTTGAATTATTTTAAAATATATATGCCCTAAAAAGAACACAAGTTGAATTCTTTAGGTATACGCATTGAAAGACATGTCTTAAAATAAAAAATAAAAATTTATTAAATAAATATTGAGATTTCCTTTCGTTAAGCGTCCGTTTGATAGCAATTTTTTATATCAAAATATTAATTTTTTATCATTATTTTACTATTTTAATCATTTTTTTTATTTCTTCACTTACAAGTAGAACCCACTTTTCTCTCTAATAGTTAATACATCAATTCTTATAATCACTATCGAACAGATCATTAATATTCTCATTAAATAAATAATAATTTTGAGAAATAACAGTTCAAATATTCTTATTGATATACCCTTCAACTACGTCCAATCTTATCGTACACGTTATGTAGGCAGCTTTGGACCATTCTTCAATTTGCAACAAAAAGGCCAAAACGGACGACCACCTTCGTGTCTTTGTCCCACACCAATGGCCACCACCACACCTGTTTTCCCCCTCCTCCTCCTCCTCTTTGCCGCCGCCGTCGTTGCCGTCCCACCGTCACCATACCTCTCCCCCACCACCCTTTTCCAGAACTACCAAAACATGCTCACTAACTTCAAGATTTTCATCTACACCCCGGCGAAGCCATTCACCTTTCAAAACCCAGCTGCATCTCTCTTCTACAGTTCCCTCCTCTACAGCCCATTTCACACCCAAGACCCAAATGAAGCTCACCTCTTCTTCATACCCTTTTCTCCCGAAACATCCATGCGCTCTCTTGCGCGTCTCGTCAGGGACCTCAGAGTCAACCATCCTTACTGGAATCGCACTCTTGGTGCTGATCATTTTTTCGTATCACCCGCCGGTATTGATTATTCAGCCGACCGAAATGTTCTTGAGCTGAAGAAAAATTCTGTGCAGATTTCTGTTTTCCCTGTAATCTCCGGTAACTTTATCCCGCATAAAGACATCACTTTACCTCCCCTGAACCCGGCCGCTCGCATCATCTCCGCTGTGCCGGAGAATGCTTCAACGTCGTCGTTTCTGGGCTACTTAAAATGGGATGGAAAAACCGAGTCAAATTTTGTAGAAGAATTAAAGGAAGACGGTGACTTCTTGATCGATATCGAAAGAGAGTTATTAGATCACGTGGAGAAAGTCAAAAACAGTAAATTCTGCTTGCTTTTACACGCCGGTGACGTAGCATGGATGGTTGAGGCGATGGCTATGGGTTGCATACCCGTGGTGATTGTGGACCGTCCGATTCAGGATTTACCGTTGATGGATGTTTTGAGATGGTCAGATTTAGGTTTGCTGGTGGAGGCACGCGGCGGCGCCAAGCGGCTGAAGCAGGTGTTGAATGATGTGAGCGAGGAAAAGTATGGCGTGATGAGAGAAATGACGTCAGCGGCGAGTAAGCATTTGGTGTGGAATGAGGAGACTCAGCCGTTGGACGTGTTTCATATGGTGATTTATCAGCTGTGGCTCAGAAGGCATACGATTAGATACGCCCGGAGGCAGTCATTTTAGACTTTAGGCGGAGTATTAATGTGGTTATGAAAATACAAATAAATAACTTTGTAATTAATATTCTAGAAAATATATGTAAAATTCTATTTTATCTTTGATTCCATCCTCTTTAAAAATTCATACGATAATAGAATTATATCAGCTGAATGAATGATATATCTACACTACAGAATACATTCCAAGTCAATTTCAAAACCGGGTACAAATTCAAGATGACACCACTACAGAAATTTAAAGAGGAAAAAAAAAAAAAATGGATCCCTCTTCTATACGCTCTTTCACTCTAGGTAATTACTACTCTAAAGCTAAAGTACATAAATAAACACTTCCTAACTACGGAATTTCCACGATCAAGCGACAAAACTTGCCCAAAAAACTAACTTTAGGCAAGTGCTCAAGTGGGGTTATAAGCCTACAAGTTATGACTTAATATAGATATGTAAGAAGCAATTAGAGTCATCACAGTCCATACATCTTAGATGGCACATGATACCGGTCACAAAACCACTCAAAATTGCCAAGTCTGCAACTCGGATCATTCTTAAAAGTGTATTTGCACCAGAGATCGATTGCTGCAACTATATTGGAACTCGCTTCAAACCAGCCAAGTAGGGAGAGTGCGCTCAAGTGATTGTTATGGTATGCAAAAGTACAATAAATTCCTTTTGCTTATGTTAAGTAGCCAACATATGATTGTAGAGGGGCAGTGGAAAGATGAGAACCTTGATGACAGGAATCTTAAGATTCTTAATAATCAGAATAATTGTCGGAGTTGTTTTGTTTCCTCCCTGAGAGATTGAATTTCTTTCATGATCTCAGCCTGATTTTCCAGGATCAATCTCATGACACTTGACATTTCCATCTGCATAATAATGTCAAAACATTAGGAGAAGAATGGAGAAAATAACTGATATAGAAACACCCGGCATATCCCTCCTGCATATTGAACTGTCTTAAAATTTCTATGTGAAGGTTTCGCATGTCTTCATGCATAGATTTCTGAAATGAACCAAATATTTCTTCAAGCGTACGTTGGAAAAGCTGAAGTGTAAACGAGTTTTCCTGTTTAGAATCCGGAGGGAAGGTAGTCTCCTGCACTTGTGCAACTCCGCCCTGGACAAGATTACAGGCAATTTAAGAATTAATCAGGAATTAGTTTAAGAATTAATCAGGAATTAGTAGCCAGGCGTTTACGCGATTCATCATGAACATTTTCACCAGCCTGCATCCAGGTTCAATGCACAATTCCTTCGGCAAAGAATCATGGTGAACATAATAGATGATGAATCGTTACAACCAAATAGTTGCTGTAGCTAAAGTCAAAAACAGGGAGAACACAGCATCTGATTGTTGCGTACATTTGCAGCTGGAAGAACACTATTTGATGCAGATGACACATTGGACCGTGACAACAAGCTATTCAAAATTTCTTCCCTCGTTTCTGTTCCTGTTTCGTTAGTTTTGGGTGATCCTGTTGAAAGATCACTGAAGGATGTTGTAGCACCTATTCTCTCGGCATAACTAGAAAATCTTCCGGGTAGGGACAAAGATGGACCAAGAGAATCAAGTTTACCAGGTAGCATTAGGCATTTTGTACCTAGAGAAGAGGAAACATGTTCAGAAGATCCTAATGAAGTTTCCCGGATGCACAAATTGACCAAGATCAGTCTTGATGTTAGGGGGCATGTATTCTTACTTGTAGAGAGACCAATATCCTGTAACCCTGACAAAATTGACCCTGACGATAAATTACTGGATGTTAATATCGCGAAACGAGGAGGCATGTTAACTGATTGAAGGACGTGTGTCAATTTATCTGATAATCGATCGACACCCCCAAGCCTCTGGAGGAGTTATGGAAGAAGAGATGTCACCAAGCATATATGCAGGGGTGGATGTCAATTGTGAGAAGGTACTGCAAGAGCTGCAACTATATAAAAATGTGTTCCACAGATGTTCTAAACCGCTACTGAGAATAATGGTTAAATCAAAGTAGTTAATTAGTTTATGCAACCATTAATGTACACAAAATCAGGAATAAACCTAAAAGTTGTCAATTATTCATGACAAATTATCCTTGTCAACAAGAAGGAGCAGATAGGGAAATAAAAGTTTTAGGTTGGTGTCATTCCACTTTCACCAAAAAAATAATATTCAGGGTGCAATGCTTCACATGTTTCTCTGAATTTACCTTTACAGGTACTCCTTTTACACATTTCACATGGGATACTCCACGTAGAAGCTTCTTTTCAGACAGCTGATTTAAGTTTCCAAGATTCTCGCAATAGAATTGGTTATAATGAGATCTTACGGAGAAATTATGCTTTGTGCATGTATAAATTTCTGGTTGCCGGTTGTATGCACGAAAAAGTTAAAAATGACCTGCACCTAGTAAAGCATAGAACAAGTTTAGGCTTACTATTGGATGATTATTGCATCTCTACAACTAAACTAAATCTATATCAAGCAAGCAATGTAAATTATTCGACATTGATGCATTGATAAAAAAATGCTGAAATGGTTAAGAAGCACACCTGCTTAGATGTTGAAGAAGATTTCCGGTCAAAAACTGGATGGCTATCATGACCACTACCTTCCTCTGAAAGCGAAAAACTCCCAGAAGGGAACAAAGTAGGTGAATTGTAATTAAAATCTTTCTTTGAACCCTTGCTACCATCCCACAACTGATCAAATGAATGAGTA